TGCAGATTACTTGTGAACACGAGTTCTAATAGTCTCCAGGGTAACTCATATTGATTTCAATTGAAACATGTATTTCACTTTACTGCACTTTCCATCACCGGTGGCCCAAAGAATCAATAACTGTAAGTCAATGGTGACCAACAGCCTTGACGAATACATATGTCTTTCGATTTGATTTTATTTCAAAATTCTTCGAAAGTTTACTACCCTTTGCACACTGGTAACAAAGGCGTTGAGCCAAAGTCACTATCGAAAATTCAAAAGAAAAAAACAACTCTGCTAATTGATGACCAACATCATCAATGAGCACAGGTGTTTTTTGATTTGATTTAATTCATAAACCTATTTAAATTTATTTCACCGCAGCACACAGGTGATATTCGTGGCACTGGCCATTAACTTGAAGCTCCTAAGCGATTACTGTTCTGATGATTATTGGCCACGGAGGCCTTTTCAATCTTTTATCAATCTAGTAAATACTGCATCGCTCCACACGAGTGACCTACTGGTTGATCACCAGCCACCATCAGCCCTATTGACTATTAACCGATGATCGAGCCTTTAACGAGCGTCGATATCTTTCAGTATGATTTTAAGGCTGTTTAAATTTACCACACTGCACCACTCCAGTGATTTATGGTTTGACTAAGGTGCTTCAGGTAATGCTGACCAACGACTCTGATCGCTCGTTTATGTTTAACTTAATTTTTATAATTTATCTATAATTTTAAGTACATGTAATTTATGGCATACTTATGACTATTTTAAGCGATATATGAATTCATGGAAAAGGTTTCTAATATCATGTTACAGGTCTGCCTTTTTATTTTATGAAGGGAAAATATTTTTAGTATCTTGCACTTGGCTTTGAATCCATTTTACTTACAAAGCAAATAAATTACATATTATTTAGCAAGTCAATTTTAAATTTAGTTAAGGTCAGGTGCGTGAGTACTCAAATATGTTATACCTTATAATTTAATCCTTTATTCATAAGTCACATTTTTAGAAAAGTACTAATATCAATCTAATATTATCCTTGGATAGCACAGGAGATTCTAATGGCATGGACACTTATCATTAATTTAAACTCATAAGATTTTCCAAACTTACTTATCGTAAAAAATGAAGGATTTATAATCACAGAAAAAATTTCCTAAATCAGAAGTTTTTTTTATAACTTTCTTGGAGGATAAATAAAGCAGTTATAATGTCGAGAATTAATTTGAAAAACATGTACTCTACATATCCCATTTGCTAAATTAAAAATTTAAGGAAACGGAGTTCATTACATGGAAAGTAAATAACAGAAAATTCATTAACATGTAAAATATCAATCTAACTTCATATTACTGTCTGTCATAATAAAACTAAAATAGAAACTGCGGAATAATTTCGTGTTTTTTGCGTCCATAAATTCATTTTTAGTACATGATATACGTGCGTAGATGTGACAAAAGAGACATATTACAAGCTTTGTTGTTTTTATAATTTATTGTTTCGAGGATACCAAAAATGTGCATTGTCTGACACCTTGATTGTTTTTGATTTATGTCTGAGCCATATTCATTCTGAATTTGCTACTAAGAAAGGGTATTCTGACGCAGCCTATTTTCTGGGTGACAGGTAATCGTAAAGTAGGAAGAACTTACGCGTCACTTCCACAGCATGGGGCGCGGTTGCAACTGATAAAATACATTTTCTTTAGAATAAATACATTGCTGAAACGTTTTTTATGAAAGAATATTCCATCTGTTTCCATAGCACGTAAATTAGATTATGCCGTTCGGCATGCTATGTTTCTATTATTCTGTAGTAACAGTAGACGTTTTGTTGCAAATGTCTTAAAATTCGTACTTCATCCAAACTCATAATATTTCTTGAAGACAAATTCTTTTTAAATAACGAAGAGTTTGCAAAAATTCATTTGTTCCGTTACTATGCCGATCATGTGATTCTTGTTACATCTTTGAAATGAAACTTTAAACTTTTTTAGGTAATATTTTAGAGAACAATAAACAAAATTACTTATTTATTTTATCTGTATTTGTTTCATCTAGGCTTGAAAACATTTACAGAAACTTAAGAAACATCAAACAGAATTATTTTTATTCCTGAAACAAACTAATTCCGACTGGAACAAAAATCAATTTTTCGCATAAAGAAACATTTGGCAGATAATCTCATGCGTTGGCTGAATCCCGTCCAGCCCAAAAAAACAGCTTTATGTAAAGATATATTAGTAATTGTTTTCTCACATAATTAAGAAAACTTTTCATATAAGAGAAAGATATAGATGTAGCAGTGTTCTTTTGTTACTTATTTTATCAGGCAAATGAATAGTTTAAAAAATAATCTTTAATAAATCTGGAATTTTGATATTGAAATTTACAATCATTTCCCAATTAGTTGCCGCTGGATTCTCGGACTGTAATTCGGGTTCTATTAAAAAAGTTAGGTGTGTTTACTCAGGAAAATGGAAAGATTACTACCACAAATGGTGAATGCAGTTGTCTGCGGAAGGTACAAAACGGAAGCGAAAAAATGAACCAGATAACAGTGGTGTTAGCAGCATTATCCGGATACAGTTCAAGAACAAGTTCTATTGACATTTTACGTGCGTTTCAATTCAAGGAATTTTTGGAACTTTGAGTTCTTTTGTAAAAGCAGTTCTTTAATTCCATTTACAGATCAGTTCCTTTAATTGTAACGATGTTTATTCTTTCGGTATTTTCAGTATGTTTTTTTCGCTCTGACTACTGATTTCATTTACGTAAATAAACGAACTAGAATCTCCAGATTAAATTGTTTGAGCATACAGGTAAACCATTAAGAATTTGTTTCTATTAATAATCTGTGTTTTTCTTTTTCTTGTTCTAATTGTCCTTAGATGAAACATTATTTTGACTTAACCAGGGTGTCCTCCCACTCTTATCTTGAAACATACAGAGTTAATTGTGTACTAAAAATTAATTAAACACATTTTATTTGTTGAATTCTATAATACTGCAGAAACAAAGATTTCATGTTCTTATAATAATTCACTAAAACATTTACCACAGAAGAATTAATTGTTTTCTCAATTTAAAAATATAAAGCTCCGAAGACTTATTAAAATGACTTCGTTTTAACTGGTTAAACTCCTAACCCTTTTGAAGGATTACTCCATTTAGATAACCAAGTGATAATGAAAAAATATCCGAAGATTCTGAAGACAATTGTGTTGTATCGAATCTGTGATCTGTATGCATTCTGTTATATCAAAAAATTGAAAAACTGAAAATTTTGTCAAACAGCCGAAGACAGAAACCACTACAAAAGCAAAGAAGAAGGGAAAGCGAACTAGTTCTGCAGAGTAAATTGGACAACAGAACAAGGTCAAAGCGATGATTCACTAACTCCTAGAACAGTAACAGATTTTAAAAACACGGTGGAAGACTATAAGAAAGCTTTTGAAGTAACACTCAAAGATCTAGCATTTAAGCTTACATCAGAATATTTATAAGACACTATTAAGGATAACGCTACATACGTAGCTTGTATAAGACTTAGAGATGTGAAAATCCGGAAGATAGCAAAAATGCATTCTATGCAAGCTGAGCTAAGATTATGGAAATTATGGAAGATAATATTATTGACTCGGAAACTCAGAGTGAATAGAAGCAAGAAACGGAGGTTGAAGGTAAAGAAAACACAAACTGGAAATACACAAAGAAAGTGGCAAAAATTGGGGCAAGCTAAACAATGAATTATATGTGATTTGTACCGATCAAGTTAAAGCAGAGGCTAAGAAAATATTTTTCATCTACCCAAAAAATCAGTCTGTCGATCACTAGCGGCGCAAAGTCTGAAGAATAGAAACATTCCTTTTCACTCATAGATTAAAAGCGAAAAACGAGTAAAATTATTATGGAAAAAATTTCCAAGACACATTCCGAGACAGCCAATAAAGAAGATCCTGAAGATAATAAAACTAAGTTATGATCCTCACAGAGAATAGCATTTTAAGTTTGATACATTGTGAAACTATTTTTGTACGAATTTCTTAGAACGAATTCAGATATGTTTCATTTGCCCTTTTATCATAAATTAGACCGTTTAGGTAGAAGCAATATTAATCTGGTTCACTTGCTTGGAAAAACACTAGAATTCAGTTCAAGCTAAATGATTAAATCATACACTTTTTGTGTTATTATAAACATGAGACGTCACTAATTTTTATTTTGACTCGCGTCGGAGTGCAGTTAAAATGAATTCTTACGATTTCAAGAAATGTTTATGCTAATGAAACTGAGGAATATTTCATTACATTAAATTTCATAAACACATAGCATTAAACTTCACTATCACATTTCAGTCTAAAACTATATCCTAAAATAAATATGAAACAAAACAGATTTGGGAACAAACACTTAAATTATAAGACGAATTGATTATAGATTGTTAAGAGCACGATTGAACTTCAGACTTTGAAAAACGATCTTTGAGAATTATTACTAGACTATTCTTCTGTTATTATTTTTTACAATTCGAATATACTGCTAATGATCATACTGAAATACATAAAATATTTCCTTAATGATTCAGTTGTAATACATTATTATATTCGCCCTTAATGTTTTAATTTAGCAATTAGAGAACCAATCAGCGACGCTAAAATCTCTGAACATTGGTAGTTCCGGTCTCGGTTCGATTCCAGCCGGCATAAGCATGTTCGTGGTTTTTCCTATGTATAACGTCTATACAAATTTCCCTCAGAAAATTCTCCACTAAGGCATGCCTTCGATTAGTCAGATAGCTCTAGTATGTTTTACTATAATCAACTAAAATCGAAAACCAAAAGCAGTAATTCAAATCTCTTTAAATACAGTGGAATTGAAATTTCTTCAATTTTGTAACGTGTCTGTGCAATTCAAATCTTGATTAAAACTATCTTATAAATGTTCATTTTTAATTTTATATTAATTTTTAAGCTACAATATATAATAATCAAAACTTACATAAGCAGATAGCGCTTTACACTTTTCACAGCTTAAGTTTCCTTCCGAACAATCTGGAAAAACGCAAAAGAAGATATTTAATAATAAGTACCAAAAATTCATTGCACCGTTTACTTAACATCAGTAAATATTAACTGTATTATGCCCACTTCTCAGCAATTATTCTGATCAGCAATCAGCAAAAGAGTTTAGCTTTACTGATATTAGGTACCGTATTACTAAAGAAAATAACAATGCCTATCCTTGTATCTTTCCTGTAACTTCCACTCCTATCAAGTTGATGTTAATTTGCCAGTATGAATGTAATTTGTGTGTCTCAAAACGGGTATGATAATTTAAGGAAAGAGAATTCGAGAGAGATACCATTTTGTAAATGACATCATTATGATAGTAAAATTCACTCTTAATTGGAATAGTTTAACTTGACTGTTTCCGATTTTGACCAAAATTTCCTTAAGTCAATGAGAAAATTACCTAAATATCCGACAACGAAATAAAATCGAGCATATCGAAAATAATGCAATGTTCCACTTTTGAAATTTTATAAAGAAGATTCAAGACTTAGATCAGCGATGGCGAAAGTGCATTGTTTGTAATATAGGCTATTCTGAATAGCGGTGTGGAATGGATCAAGCGAATTATCCTTTGGGGACTCATACAGAATTCTGTAGGGTGATGGTGTTTCTAGATATATAGTGTAAGCGAACAATATCTCCTTCATCGTTCAGTAAATAACTGTTATTCCCTATACTTCCACCTATACCTATCTAGAATAGTTTTTTCTTGTATAGAATGTTCTACCGCACCGTAATCCGTGGAAACGGGTGGGATTCCGACCAACTGTTTTAGGAATACCACAAGCCAAATCAAAACTGGAAACATTTTTTAAAAGCTATGAGGGACGCACTCTCCATATAAAATAATTAATTCAGTATACTTCTTATCTAGAATTAGCTATCTAAAATAATTAATTATGTAATATGTTTCATATTATTAGTGTTACCTAAACAAATACGAGGCAACCCCCTTTTTAAAAATGTAAATACAATAATAATTTTATCTTCCTTTTCACACAAATTCTCTGCAACATTGATATATTTTCAATATTTTATAGCGTTCATTTATCTAAACATGTTACGGGTTGCATAAAAAACATACTTTTAGTAATAAAACGTATACTTCCACAAAAACAAATTCGAGGTTCTTTAAGTCGGCAAAAGTTTGACTGAACACTAGTAATTAGCACAGTTTGACTGAAGACTGCATTTAATTTAAACTTATTTCCTCTAATTTCATTAGAGATATATTTCTCTTTCAATTAATTCAGTTCTCACTTTGCGGCAAGGCAAAAATGCATAAAAACTCAAAATATCTTCAGTAAAAATTGAAAGATATAGAAAAACATAAAGCACAAAATACAGTTAAAACATTTAAAAAAACAATTTTTCCAATTAAAATCACAACGAAATCAAGCAATTATGCCAGCGGGCAAAATGGCAGATATTTCGGTGCACAAAACTAAAAGTTTCGTTTTGGTCCCACTCTGCAAAAAGATACTGAAGGTGCCGAAAGACTTAATTCAATATTCTGCTAAGTTTCAAATGTAAATGCTTAAAAAATAAACTTAGCCGCAGTTAAATAATTTTTAAATTGTCGATATTTCTACAACTATTGCATGCAGATTAATTAAAGATGTGAAAACCTTAACAGGGAAATAAACATAACATAAATCAATCCTTTTTAGAGCAAAAAATAAACAATTTACCAACATAAAAGAATGAAAAAAACTTTCCTCACTCAGCCGAACACGGTGGTTATGTATATATTTATATACTTTTGGACCAGCTGATTGGAACCAAAATAGGAGGTGCTCAACTACATGCTATAGCAGTTCCATATACAAAATTGTACGTACGCCACGAAAAAAAATCTGTTTTGAATCCATTTTAAATCAGTTTTATAATTCGTTTTGGGGAAAAAGAGTCCTTTCTGCCCTTATGTACAGATTTCACGCAAAAACATCGTTAAATTTCATTCGTTAGTGGTCAAACACTAACGAATGAAACACTAACGTTAATTTCATTCGTTAGTGGTTGTTAGTGGTTTTTTTTTTCGTTGAAATATGATACCCATAATTTACTTCCTACAATACTTCCTTTACTTCGTACAAGGAAGCCCTCGCACTGAGTCAGTTAATGAAAGCTTAGAACATAGTTTGAGTTATTTTCTGAACAACCCACCCAGAATATGAAAAACGTCCTTCTCAAAATTCAATTCAATGCTGTGTTATTGAAAAATGTGGATATGCTTTGCATGCAAGGCTTGGTAAACGCAGTAATATCAGTAGCGTTGTTAGCTACAAGGTAGCAGAATAGCTTTTTGGCAATTTCCAGGCAAATGTGATAATGCAGGTATATTTTTTAGATCTTCCGATTTGCGTATTGACACTCAGCAGAAGACAGTGCAATTGCAAATGCGGGCTGTTAAGAAGAAAGCAGAGCCATCCCCCTCTGGACCTGAAAGATTTGCCCCCCCCCGGAGAAAAGTTATTAAATTTCGTAAGCAGTCTTTCAGCCTTATTCGATGTGACCGAGGTTAACACACGTAGTTACCATGAGATAGATACGAAAGATGATTCTCGATGGACAGCCCTTAAAATGAAGGAAGAATTTATTAGAGGCACATTCAGTAGATAAGCAGTAACTTAAATTTTTGGGTTAGGAAAAAAACATTTCCTCCCACAGACTTTAAGTTATGGAATTTTGCTATGTATTATAATAAAAACTAAATAGAATTACAAAATACTTACTTTACCAGTAACTGAGCAAATTATGTAGGACAACATTCGAGCAAATATACGAAAACTTTGCACTCAAAATCTGCGTCCTTCCAGATAATCATTTAACCTGAGGCCGTGCCGAAAACTGAATTTATCATTAAATTGAGGTGTATGCGGTTGAGCCTGTCAATTTTCTTATACAGTGCTTCCGCTACATTTCAGAGGGCCATGAGCATAATGGTAAAGGTCGTACAAGGCTGATCAAGTTTTGTATACAATCGAACTCGATTATAACGAAAGCGAAGGAATTGCGATATTTGCTCATAATAATCGAGTGCTCGTAAAAAAATCATAAGGATTAATACACATTTAATATATTATAGCTACATATTTAATTTACTTTGTATTTCTGTTCGATACAAAAGAAGTTGGTTAATATGCTTGGAACTGTGTTATTGTCCCTTTTTTGTGTTATTATTCTTGGGAGAAGATTTAATGTTCCGAAAAACATCGTTATTTGCCCCTTTGGCTTCGAGAAAATTTGAAGTTTTTTAGCGCACTCAAAAGCTATTGAGTATCTTCGTGGTGGTTCAGCTGGAAATTCTTCACATTCGTCATTATCATAGTGATAAAACTGGCGTCAACAGATACATAATTTTCGAATTCTTCTGTTTTCATTTCAAAATTTTCCAAGTCGTCAACTTCTTCTGCTTCCTCAGTGATTTACCTCTCTTGAGAAATGTCTAATCCAGCCTTACGAAAGTAATTGGTAAGGTATGATAATATAACTTTTTCCCATGCATCTTTCATTAAACGTACTGCTTCGACTACGTTTACATTAGCATTTGTTCTTATTTTTACTCTTCTATCGAGAGACATCAAAATAAAGTGCTTGCGAAAGTTTGATTTAAAACTTCTGATGATCCCTTGGTACGTAGACTGGATAATGCTTGTAGAATTCGGTGGCAAAAATTCAAGCCTGATGTTTGTAAGACAAGCGATTTTGGGAGGCACTTTATCAATTAAAAGGGGAATATTACGCTCTTCTTTGTTCAGTATCCTCTCCCATTTTGAAATTAATTCCGTGAAAACATCCGAAATCATCCACGCTTTCTTGTTGTGGTCATAATCAACAGAAAGCTTTTATATTTGCTTAAAACACCTAGCGGTTTTGGACTTGCTTGGGGGGGATAAGTCGTATCCTCGCCCGTGCACTCCACAAGATGGAAAAGGCCGCCATAATATGTTCGCAGAATTTATGACTCATAATTAACTTTCGGTTGACTTCGGAATGTTGAAAAACGTTTTACAAGAAAGGATTAGTTGAGTTGGAGAGGTGGAAGTCAATAGAAATTTTATGAATCACAAAAATATTCCTCACAATACCTGGGGTTTGCTCGTTAAAAGCAAGTAATGCTCTCATAAGCTTCACATTGCACCAACCAAGTATTTAAGATTTTCCTGTTAAATCAGAGTTCTCGTTAAATTAGGGCTTGTTCTCAGCGAGTCGTACTGTATTTAGAGGAAATAAATAATCATCAGTAACACCATGGATAAGCCTACTTAGGATCTGAGGGAAGGTTTTACACTTCTGAAAGAAGCAGGTTTGAAAGAGCATGCATCAAAATCCAAATTCGCCTACTTGAGGTACAAAATATAATAGCGAGGAACTGAGACGGACGAATCGAAAAGATCCGTATTTAAAATTAGCCATCGCCGAAAAATACAAAGAAATTAGCACCTTTTTTATGCTAATATTATAGAGCACTCATAAAGGATTTTGCTCACATGCAGAGCTTAAACTTGAAAAAGACACGATTTAGTTAGTCAGCTTATGCGAATATAACATTTGAAATGCTCAAACCGGCGTTGATTCAAGTTCCGGTACTGAAATTTTGAGATCCAGAAGGCAAATTACAGATAGTGGCAGTTGTGTCTATTTTTACGTTAGGGCAGTGATCATGCAAGAGCATATTTTAACAAATCCCTTAATCAAACATAAAGAAATTACACCTCTATGGAGAAATAAAAAAATAAAGATCCTGTTAGCTGTTTAGCAATTTAGAGTCTATTTTGGCAAACAGGCGGCAACGGTATACACAGACCGTGAGGCAATGTTTTCTGAGAAGAATTTGTCGCGAAGACTGAGAAAATGTGCTGTCAAATTACAAGAATATAATTTGAAAAATTTAGTACACCTCGGGTAACGAAAATGTTGAGGGAATCAAGAATTAAGTTAGATGACGAATGAAAAGAATTTAGGTGTGGCATGTA